ATATATATATATATATATATACTGTATATAAATACTGTATATAAATGAATGAATAAATGCATTTAATTGGATCAAAACATTATCATGGGATCATCATCTGTGATGAAAGCTAAATATAATATTACAAAATAAAATAATTAAAACTAGGTAATAGTACAAAGACAGCACACATTCTTAAAAATAAAGGTTCCAAAAGGGGGTTATCACAGCGATGCCATAGAAGAACCAGTTTTGGTTCCCCAAAGAACCTTTCAGTGAATAGTTCTTAAAAGAACCATTTTTTTTATTAGTGTGAAGAACATTTTCATAATCTAAAGAACCTTTTTCCACTGTAAAGAACCTTTTGTGGAATGAAAAGTTTCCATAGATGGTAAAGGTTCTTTGTGGAACCATTGATGCCAATAAAGAACCTTTATTTTTAAGAGTGCACAATACATTTGGATTTGGCCTTCTATGGTTTACCTTAAGCTCTTGCATTGTAAGCTCATAGTCATCTTCCTTCGCACTGCTCAGCATATAGTCAAAAGCATCACAATAATCACTGGTTTGCTGCTTTTTCAGTTTCTCCTCTATGATCTTCTCCATGGCAGAGTGCAGAATCTCACGGGCCCTGATTCCCTACAACAAAACAAATAGACTATGTTCATGAATAAAAGTTCTAAAAAAAAAAAAATTTTAGACATAGTTTGTTTGCTCAAGCTGTGAGACAATGTGACTTTTGGCTTGTGGATGGAAGATCAGAACTGGACTCATTCTCACCTTACGCAGGCCGCTTATGGGGGTGTCAATAGGAAGAGAAAAGAGGTTGTTCATGAGCTGTTCAAAGGTTTTGGAGAGAGAAGTGATTTGCTGCTCCTCCAGATGCAGACCGAGCAGGACTCGCACTGCAATGCGGAAAGTGAGTGACTTGGCTACGGTGTAAACGTCCACAGACCCGGTCTCGGAGCACCACTTAGCAATTTCAGTCTTGACAACATCTTGAAGGCGTGTCAGATAGGCCTCCAGCGCCCCACGGCTAAACACTTTTGCAAGGATCTAGAAAACAACATTTTATTGATCAAATGCTGAACTATTCATTGCAACATTAATGGCTGGAAATGAAAGATTCATTTTTTTGTGAGCGTTCATCTTTACAGGGATATTTAGGAGAAATAAAACAATGAATGGGTTAATTATTTCGATCAGATGCCTTTTTTATTGAAAAGTCTTTCAGGGTGCATGCCTTTCAGATACGCTTACTTTTCTCTTCCTCTTGTGCAGGACACCAACTGAGTTTACCAGAGTGTTGGGCCCCAGGATGATGCGTGTGCTCTGGGGCCACTGCGTGCACACCAGCGTGTGTTCACCCAGCAGAATCTTACGGATGTTTTCTGCACCGGTCACTCGGATGAGGGGTTTGCCCAAAAGGTGAGTTTTAAAAACATTTCCGTGTTTCTCGCGTCTGGAGATGTGAAAGCTGGATCCCTGTTACAACACAACAGAGTTTCATGTCAAACCTTTTAGATAGATGCAATACCCCGAGTCCCCACTACTTCCCCAAGACTTTCAGTTGTTTGTGACTATAAGGATTTTTTAAATTTCCATACTAAAAATATTTCCATATAAATTTCTCATACTATTTTATAAACTTTCCAGGCCTACATATTGCAATATTTATTTATTTTATTGATTGATTGATTGATTGCATCTTCTGGAAAGGACTAATCAGTTCTGTATGAAATCAAGGTGAAAAGGTCTGTTTTTACCACAGTGAAGAATTACACCCTCATCAAGTTCACACATGCAGGGGATAATTGGAGGAACTGGCTCATATGCCTCATATTCCTTTGAGAAAGCATTAAACATTGCAGTAAAGGTAATGCAAAAATATTAGCAAAATAACATAAAATGCAACATAGATCACTTTAATCTACATAAATGATAACATTAATAAAATAATTAACCCTATAAAATCTAAATAGCCTAGCCTAAATGTGGTGGTTTGCGATGGAATTCGATTTTTTTCCCTCATAAGTTAGCATATGTCGTTTAATAATTTTTTACCTACTACATAATTTTAACCGGGGGCTTCGTGTATTGTTTTCATAGCTACGTTTCACAAGTGAGTCAGAGTGCACTGGTCTAAATGTTTATGATCTTAAAGAAACCGGCTTTGCTTACAGAGGTAACCATAGCAACACGTGCTTGATCGCTGTACATACGGTGCATCGATAAAACGTAAGTAGCCTACTGACGTTATTTATAAAGCTATATCTACACAATATATATCAGAAAACGTTAGTATTTTGTTTAAAACGCATTGTTGATAGTTAAATGCGCTGGGGGCGCCAAAAACACTTAGGTTTTTCGTAAAACGAACGAATAAAAAAAAGTACTATTTTTTTTTTTTTTTTTTTGCAACGATGACCCCGCCGAAATAATTTGAGAACTAATTTTAACAGTATTTTACTTAGGCCTATATTTGCCTTGTTAAATAAATAAATAATAATTAATAACTAATTAATTCATTCATTTTTTTTTGCTTCTAAAGCATATTAATAATATAAAATTACAATATAATGCATATGCTTATATATTAGAACTCAAAATGTTACTTTTCTAATCGAGGGAACATACTAGCCTATGAAATCCATGATCGATAAATCATAAATGAGAGCAAAAAGAATTGAGAGAAACTGAGTAGAATTGTATTTATGCTCAAGTCTTACCTGGAAAAGCCAGTGAAAAGTTTCTCCGACCAGCGGCCAGCCCATGGAGCCCTGCGGGAGTGGGAGTTTACACGTCCGATCCCCGGTGATGCTCCACCTGAACTCCCACAGCAGCCGCGAAACCACAAGCAACAGCAGAGCCGGGAAGACAGCACCGGCAGCCGCCAGCAACGCGGACACGAGGCAGATATTGTGCCCGAACATCTCCAGCGTTGAGCAAAGCCAAAAAGAAAGCAAAGAATCCACGTGCGCCTGTGCTTGTTGTTCCAGTGATGATTTCTTCTTGATGGAGCGCCTCCAAAAGTTGTGTAACACGCAAGATGATCCCTTTACGCGCTCATCGGATATCTAGGAATGGAATAAGAATATGACATTACTCTAACATGGGCTTTATGAAGAGAGGAGATCTATCGTGCTGTCATTCTCTCCAGCTTCCCAGAGAAGGACAAGAAGCTGACAACTATTCCAAACAGTTTTACAAGTTGCATGCATGCGCTGGCATGTCTTTCATCCGAGTTTATCCACCTTTTCTTGGGGTGCAACCCCTGGAACAGCCCTGCTCTCACCCACTCCGACTGTAAATCACTCCAACTGAATTTGAGATTATGAGAACTTTGGAAACGAGCACACATTTTTGCTTAATACAGAAGATCCCTCTGCGTATAAACACTTCCGAGTAAGTAAAACTCATAAATTCGTAACAACATCATAATATAGATGTAACATCAAACAGCCTACATTAATTATTCAGTTCAGTTCTGTTAATCCAATCTGTATTCTTATCTGAAGAACATAGTGAAACATTAAGAGATTTAAATCTCCGAAGTATCATATGCATAAAAAAATGACTCTTTATAAGATGGTTCTTATACCTTAAAATCAGTTAAAATACTTTATTTTTAAGGGTGTAACAAAAAACAGGTCTTTCAGATCTGTTGCTAAAACATGCAATCGGTAATCTAAAATAACATCATCTTAATAACAGAGCTAATGATGACCTTACAAGTGAATCAGAGACAGACAATGAGTGTATGCTCACCTCAGGAAGAGTGTAAAATCCTAGCGAAGCTATCCAGTGAAACTTCGAGAATCTCTTCTTAGGTGAACTATGCGTCTTCTGTGCATCTCGCGCGCTCGAGCTTTATAGGTATTGGCACATGTTATGATCCACCTTCACCAGTGACGTGTGAGCAGTTTTTTTTTCTCTAATAGTTGAACAGGTCTTGGATAGATCACAGGGGATGGGAAACGTTTGAGATCGTAGATTCCACAGAGGGAATCAGAAAGAGAGAGAGAG